TGTTCATTTGTTTTCAATTAGTTAAATAGTTCCAGTAGTTTTTGCTAAAGTTCCAAGAACTGTGAGATTTTACTGGTACAACACTATTTGTAGTATTGTAACTATCAAATTCTGAATTCATTATTGTGAATTTGAACTTGTAATTGTTACACTCTAAATAATTAGTTTTTCACTATGAAATATGGTCTGAAAAATTTACAGAGAAGTCTGGAAGTTTGAGTCTGGAAATGTATGTAATTTTGAAATGGAAAATGTGTTGGGTCCCTGTAGTGCAGGACCCTATTGTTTTGTTTTCCTTAAAATTATATTATTGCCCAAGCAAAGAAAGTAGTGATAATAAGTAGTTATTGCCATTGTATGTTATTACCATTGTAATATTATCATTACCATTGCCAATAGTTGCATTACCACAGTGAGTGTTACATACAGTACCAGAATGGAGCCACGTAGTTGCAGGGAAAAATACTTGATAAATTTAAATGAACTATCAGATATTTATTGAGATTGATTATATATTTTTTCTTTTCCCCCAGACATTAAACTTTTTCATTAAAAAAGTGCTCTCTACTTATCTCTCAATGCTTGTATTGAATTTTTTTGGGCTAAAAAACATTTTCACATGAAACTATTTGAGCTATCCAGCTGTCATTAATGTTCCTATCATATTGTGGGTTGGAGCCAAGCCCTTTCTCTTTCATAAGCAAGGGGAATAATGGGATTCTCTGTCGCTCCCCATATTTGATAATCCCAAGTTTTGTATTTTCACTCCGTGACAGAACTGAGAAATACCTACCTTAGAATCTATCACTGTCCCAGGATTGTGATAGACTCATAATTTAGTAACTTTAGTAATCGCTGCAGTTTTATGACTATTCAACTCTGTTTTCTGTACAGATGTATCTTGTCATCTTTCCAGAGGGAACCCGCTACAACCCTGAGCTCCAGAAAATTATCAATGACAGTCAGGCTTTTGCTGCTAAAGAAGGTATTGTTCTATTGGATGATTTTATGCATCATGTTTTATGTTGTTGATTGGATTTTGAGATGTGGGCATTAAACTCAAAAGTAAAGTCAGATAAAGCTGGCAGGGGCAGGGTTTAAGCAGACTGTTGGAGTAGTCCTGCATATGTCATCAGATAGAAGTAATTTCACTTGAAGATCCGGTTATGACATTTTGATTAAGCATTTACAAGGTCAAATAAAAAAATAGATTAAAAAATGTAAGCAATATGCATTTAGAAACTAGAGTGAATTTTCATTTCATGTCAACTTTAAAGGAACAATTCACCAAAAAAAAAAAATATATATATATAGTGGGGAAAAAAAG